GCATAAAAATAAAAGCTGATGTTTAAATAATAAAATCTTTTATATTAATCTAGGAAAGGTACTTTATATGAGGAAGATAGTCATGTGCAATTGCTTCAGCCAAATATAAGTAAATAATGAATTAATTGTTTAAAGCATAAACACAATTTCATGGGCTAAAATGTACGCACAGAGGCTTAAGCGATAGCCAACGTTTTCGTGCCTTATTAAGGGGCCCTGCAAAAAATCACCATTCTAAAAAAATCCTACCAGAGTCACCTGGTACCACAAAAAGTTATCAGATTTCTCAACCAAATGACTCGTTTCCAAGCCAGAGACCCATTTAAAAAATAACTGGGATTCCCAAATTCGTTTAGTTTAGCACTTTTCCTAACCATAAAAAGGGCCTCAAAAAGCGGGTTTCTCCAACATCCACGTTTTTGTTTAGCTACGACGTTGTGTACGCGGGCGGTGGTATTGTTTTCGTCCATTTTTAAATTATAACGTATACGTACGACAGAATTAAGTCGTATACTTACATAATAGGGCGGGCAAAGGGAAGATAACATACAAGCAAAATTATGTCGGTAACTGTCTTGATAAGGATGCAGTGTAACTGTAAGTAAATACCCTAAGAAATTAGAAAACTGACGATCACACCTAAATCAGCACACTTTGATCTGGAACAATCACTATATGAATAACAAAAGACAACTGCATACGAGACATTTTACCACACAAAATTATTACGCGTTTTGAATATAATACGTAAAAAACACTACAGCGTTTTGTTCCTTTTTTTATCCTACTAAAGAGATAAAAAGGAATGCAAATTTTTAACAAATGAATCGTATGAGTATTTTTTTTCACACATACAATTTTATATTAAACATACATACACTACAGATCTATTATCAGTTCTGAAAATAAAAATTGATAATTGCTCCATTAGGGGATTACATTATTTTCCGAAAGCTTGTACAATATGCTGTTGCTATTATTATTTGGATTGGTTCGTGGATTGGATTATGTTGATGACGTAAATGCAATCTCTCAATAATTATAAAGTACTTCATTACGAGCATATTAAGTAGATACCTATTTATATTGACTTAATACTTATAACGTATCTTTTTATTATTTAATTCCTCCTTTTTTAATATATCGTCGACTTACAAGAAAAGGTCGATTCTATTTTAATAGTAAAAAAATCGATTGTCTGTAAAGTCGGTTTACTTACGATAGTTGAACGTGACAACGTCATAAGAAAATACTGATGGAATGGTTTCATTTTTCAAAAGAAAATTTTAATTTTATTTGTTTGATAGATATTTTGTATGGATATAGAGAAGGAGGTAAATGGAAACGTATTATTGTATAGCAGCTGTCCACGCGTAGGCATCGCTCACTCCAGTAGGAGAGAGACAGATGTCGAACGCTGCCGAACGCGGAGGCCGATTGTGCCTCTTTGTCGCTCGTTCCGCGCTCTCGCTTTCACTTCAAGCCTTAAATGGAACGCCTCAGAGCGAGGTAACGCCGCATGAGTCATGTTCTTTCGTGCGTGCAGCCGGCTCCATCGAATTATAAGACGTTGTCACGTCAAAAACTGAAAAATAAGGTGTAGGGTTTGCCTTACGTGTAGAATCAAATCTAATAAAGGAACAAAAAGGAGATTTACTTCTTATAGCGATTCCTTCCTGGCATGGGCGTAGCGGGAAGTTTTTACTAGAGGGGGCAGATTTTCGATAGCTGTAAGTTTATATTTTAATGTATTTGGTTTCTGTCTTTAAACTTTGAACCAATATCGTGACTCGCTAGAGCCTTTTTCAGGGGAGTCATGAACTTAATAGTGGGGACACTGCTCCCACCTTGCCCCTATCTGTCTACGCCCATGTTTCCTGGCCTTTCTCATAGTCCTTGATTCTGCACGTAGGTATTTCAGAATTACAGGAAGAAATGGTAACAGAAGTATCAGGATTGGCTTAGGTAATTTTGTTCCTGTTCGTTCTTTCATGTTTTTGATTGTGGTCAAATGTTATTCGACAAATTTCCGTCAGTTGTTTTCCTTCAAAACTGATAACAGACAAAATAACAAAAGGCGAATAATTCAACACACGATTCAAATCAAACATCAAGACATCTGAAAATGACGATTTAACAATAACGATGTTACTACTATTGGTGGTTGTTGTCTAGTTTCGCTCCCATTCTTCTTAATGCAATGATAGTGTTCACAGCTTTTATCCAACGTCTTTTGATAACGTACCTCTTAAGTTTGGTGGTGTCTAGTCGCGTCGGAGGATGAGGCGTCGTTCGGAGGAGCCACGGGTGTTGTAAACACTGATCTCCGGTCATCCTCTCACTGAAATTCGCACTAATCTTTACTTAATTACTTATTCAAAGAAAACATTGCAAAAATAGGAATTTAGACTTGGAAAAATTTTAGGGATCAAGGAGATATCAATGCGCTCTTCTGAAGTTCAGAAAAAAATTAATTTATTAGTGTGGGAGTTTTTTTATGGGGTTTCTACCATCAATGATAGTTTATAAATCCAAAAATTCCCTCAAAAGTCCAATATCACTATACTCGACCAGGGCCGTAGCGAGGCCGGTTCAAGCGGTGCGGCGCACCGGGGCCCCCGCAGTCGAGGGGCCCCTTAGCAGTTTTCTGTTTTCAAAAAATGACTTCTAAAAAAAACTATGCTGTTAGAGATGAGCTGAGTCAAACTACGAAATGAACATCATAATTTTTTATTTCTGAAGTTGGGTGTGCTTGCTGACTGCCGCCCATGCCGACACCAGGACGTTGGCATCACCGTGAGAGGTTATCTGTTAGTGCTGCACGGGGAATCATCTATTCGTGAAATTAAAACATTTTTTTTAATGACATTTTTCTGATCATCAATTTTAAGAAGGGCCCCTTGCGGAATACCGCACCGGGGCCCCGAGCTCATCGCTACGGCCCTGGTCTCGACATTGATCTGGGTCTTGCTAATTGGTCTTGGACTTGCTCAAATATTTCTAGTCTTGGTTTACACCAAACCGATGGTCTTGCTGATATAGTCTCGGTCTTGGTCTTGCGTGTTAAGTTTTCGTCTTGGTCATTTAAAAATATCGAAAAAAAATTGATTTGTCTCTTTATTTTAACCTTGTGTTATCCAGACAAAGGAACAAAGAACACACACTCCGAGGAGTAGATCCTTTTTTTCGAATAGTGGCAAAGTTTTTTTTTTTATATTTATTGTTAAAATCTAGTAAAACTCAAGACTTCAAATGCAAAAAATATTTGTTCCAAGAAAAGAATATATTAAAGTTGCTTAAAGTAATTTAACTCATTAGTTCACCGGAAGTAATGACTTAACAGTCCTGTAAGACCAATTTTGCTCATCATTATCTCCAATAGATACAGAAAACCCTATCAGTTACATTTTGGCAGCTTCAAGTCTATCGCGTACCTGACAGATTAGACTTCAAGCCACTACATAACGAAACAATTACTGCACTGATAATTTACAAATGTTTTTGGAACTATTGGCGTTATATATATACCTATTGTTAAATTAAAGTAAAAATAATTGAAATCAAGTAAAAGCACTAAAAATTAGTATGTGGCAACATGGAAATAAGGATTTGGGACATGAATATCTTCGTAATTGTTTGAGCGAGAAGATATTCATGAGCTCACGAAAGGGCAGGGTCGCTAATCCCTGAAGTAGGTACATCTTCCGTTAAAAATTATAGAGAAATACCTACCCGTTACCCCAAAAGAACACTCAATGCTAAAAGACTTAAATTTTTGTAACCCTCTATAGTTATTTAATAAATAATAAATTATTAAAAACTGCCGGTAACAAATAATACCTAATATGTAATTATTACACCCTAGTTTCCAACAACTCGAACTTTTTGCGCAAAAGTTTCACGAAAATACATGCATTCTCATGGGGCGCTTTTTAGTAACACAAGCGTGAGACATGTGGCCGATCATCCCGCACTCTTTTTTAATGTATCTACCCTATAAACGATTAGCTGCGGTTAATATCAATAAAACGAAGAAATAAAAAAAGAAACTAACATGTTAAAAAAAAATAAAATAAAATTACAGTGTAAACTCTATATAACGACACTTAAGGGACTGAACATTTTTCGGCGTTAGAAAGAGTGGTCGTTAAATGGAGAGAAATAAAAGATATTATTTTACTATTCTATAATAATATGCATTTACCAATATAGTACACATTTTGCACACGAACATTATTATTCATACTTTGCGTATAGCCTGTTATCTTCGTCTGATGTTTTTTGCTGCTCCAATATTTTAATTGTATTGTGTTACGCATCTTACTCATATCTTGAGATACTGCTGGATCAATTTGATTATATGAAAAGTATTTTTTTAATAGTTTCGCTGCATCAAGTGCTTGTTTGATGCTTGGTGGAGGGACAGGATCGTCTTCTTCAACAACGTACACAGCTGCAGTTCTTATCTATTTCGGCAACTTAGAAAGTATTGCTTAATGATTTATAATTCTGCATTGTTGTCGTTAAATAGAGTGACCGTGGCGCTATATAGAGTGTAATATTGTATAGAAAACAATGTAAACCAACCAAAGTCAAGCAATTTCGACGTTTTAAGGAGTTTGTCGTTAAATCGAGTGACATTATAAAGAGTTTACACTGTAATGAATTGCGAACGTCACGTTCTTTTAGAAATCTCTCCCCTCTTGTGACATCTCGTCACGCTAAACAATACCCCTTACTCCATCTTGTCTGTGTACGTATTTTATAGACGACCCCTTATCAATAGATCAACTATTTAATTTGACAGCATTTTTTTTCCTCTTAATAATTTAAACTAAACAAAAATTCCAACAGGTATCCATTAAAATTAATTTTCGAAATTTAAAACTGTGTATGAATTCATCTCGTATTTTCATCATAACATTTGTTAGACATAAAACATTAATTGTTGCGGACAGGTATGGTACATGTTAGTAGTAATCATTTGAACATTTGCAAAAATAACATTTGGTCTTGGCCAAATCCAAAAGTATACTTTCCCGAAATTTTGCCAAATATCTTATTTAAATTATTATTATCTTACACTATTTTGTCGGAAAATTCCGCGTTTTAGAACACACTTACATCTGTTAAACAAATGCTTAATATTTAAACACGGAATAATTTATTTTTAGCCATTATTCGTTTAGCTGTAATACGCTAAACTACACGAAAATTGTACTTTTATTTAGTGTAAAAGAAAACCATGAACAACCCTTACGTAAAGGAAGCAGGTACCTACAAAAAGCGAATATTTAAATCAAACATTTTCATTTCAAAATTCCACCCAAATCATTAATTCGTTTTAAGGTCAAACAATTTTGGTTAAAAATACCAAACATTAAAAAACTGATTAAGCGAATCATTAACATCATAAGGTTTTCAAAACAAAGACTGATTGGACACACTCCATTTCTTCATGTCTTGAGTCAATCTTCATATTTCTCGTATGATAAGGCAACCTACTTTCATATTATTTGCGAGCAGTAATCTAATCTACGTCTACCTCTACCCCTCTTAACTCCTGTTCCTGCTTCTAACATGTCTCTAACTAAAATCCTCTTATAGCACCATATCTCAAACGAATACTAAAAATATATATTTTAAGTGGTTTGTTAAGGCTGCCGTAATTTTTTTAAAAATATTTTTGGTATTTTAAGCCAACATTGGTTGCAAAAAAAGTATCTTCAACAAACGTAAACAGTATATATATTTCCGATTAACAATTATATAAATACATCAACGTACAATAAACAACTAAATAAGTACATAACATAACAAATAAAAATATAAATAAAATAAAATTATAAGTATGAATTGTGTCAATTAATATTAAACAGCGCACTTATCAAGATTATGGTCCCGTTTTTTGATAAATAAATAAAAAAACATCCACTGAAATGAAAATAAAATTTCCAAAACAATAAACAAATAGTAACATCTTCAGTGCTTCCGTCTTTTCAATTAGATAATTAATTACCATCATGACCGTTTTGGGTTTTTGTTGTAGCTCTCATTTGAAAGAAACTGTTCAATGAACTTATTGTTCTTTGCCCTACGGATTCCCTTCTTAGCCATTCCGAAGCTATAGACCCGTGTCTGGAAAGAAGGGGTTTATGGGATGTCTTCCCTTCATCCCATTGCTCCAACAATTTCAGTAACATATCTTTCGTGCCGTTCGCAGTACATTCCAAATTGCTCTCTTCGAATTTTTGGGTCATACATCTAACCGAATTGGTATTTTGGAGAGGATATTGCTCAAAACATTTCTCATGTAAATTAATTGTATTCGATCGCTGCTGAGAGCCGTTCATGTTGGAGTAGAATGCTTCAATCTTCTTCGCCGAAGCAATATATTTCGGTTGCAATGGGACGTCTCTACTTAAATTGTTGATTTTAAACTTCTGCCTTCTCCATGGTACTCCGCTACTTGGATGAGTTGTCGACGATTCGGTGAACAATTTGTCGGTGAAACGGCCCTTTTGAATGGCATTCCTTTCATTTTTCTCTTCCTCCTTAATGTTAATTTCTTCTGTACCATTGGTACCATTTGTAATACCAGGCATTGAGGAGAGTTGGAAAAGTTTATCGGTTAATTTTCGTATTTCGTCTGCCAAGTTTGCTCTTTCTGCAACGTCTGACCCTTTCACGAAGAACGAACTGTCTGAAGATCTTCTCAAATGATCTGGAAGATACTCCACGGAGTTTGAATCGCTCGTATCTAGGAAACCATCTTCCGAAGCCACGGACGAAGTCAAAGATTGACACGATGATGGGGAACAAACTTGAAGTGAATGCAAAGAGTTAGAACGTTGCTGTAAACCGGAAATCGGTGGAATTATGACTTGGTGTGTCATTTCGAAGACGTATGGAGAGTTCGGATGTTCGTTCCAACGTTCTACGAAATTTTTTAGGTTCTCTTTTGTCGTTTCCATGCTGGTGTTATTGTTCTTCGTTGTGGTTGTAATATTTTTACGTTCGTTTGTCGGCATCTTCGGCGGACTTTTCTTTTTTAGCCAAGGATGATTAAGACAATCCTCCGACATCATCCGACTTCTGAAAAAAGGTAGACAAAGACCCTGTTATTGGTTAGTTAGGAAATCCTTAAAGAAAATAAAATCCGGACAAACCCCAACTAGTAAGAATAACGAATAAACAGCAACACAGAAAAACAAAAACAATAAAAAATCAATCACAAATAAATGTCATAAAACACACAACAATGGCTTTCAGTTAGTTGCCTGTTAATTGTATTTGAAACAACAACAATTCGTGTAAATAGTGTGCTTACTGAATTGGGTCTTTGTCATACCAACAGGACTTTCAGTTACCACTAAATCACTTATCACAGTTACCAAGTGGTAATGTTTCATTTGTTATCACTAACATTTATTTAAGCTGTGTAAAAGTTGTGCGAACACTCGTCAGTAGTGTGTGTAGATGTATGTATGGTGTGTTTAACCATAATAATAAAAAAATCAAGCAGATTTACTAAAAAGTGCCCAGTAAGTAAACCGAGTGCTAATGACTACAAACTTCTGGGCTAGTGTAAAACGTAGCACCAGAACTCGTTCTCACATGATTTAGTACTGAGTACTATTTAGTAAACCTGTTTCCAGAATAAAAAACCAAGAGGATTTATTAGTGTCCAGTATTAAAAGAAGTGATAACAAGTACTGATCCGGTCTGATTTTGCTAAAAACTTACAATATGGTTTTATGCCAAGGTTCTAGCAAAAGCTAATGTACCATTACTATCCTAATGGTTTTTACACTCTTTAAAACATTTGCCGTGCTTGGAATAGAAGCATAAAAATAAAAGCTGATGTTTATTTTGTGCTTACTTTATGTCTTTTAGAAGTAACTTAGTGATAAAGTCTTTCGCATTTTCCGAAATGTCTTTGAAGGCATCGTCATCAAAATCGTACTTTGCTATCGTGACGTTGGCCATTGTTTCAACATCTGTCGCACCCATAAATGGTGACAAACCAGATAGACTAAAAAAAGAAAAAGCATAACATTGTGGGTAATGACACAAATGTGCTTTGAGCTTACAGCACGTAGCAGATAACACCAACGGACCACATATCCGTTCCGTAGCCTATGTCGTCAAAATTTACCACTTCAGGGGCGACAAATTCAGGAGTACCAAAAAGTACTTGCAGCTTTTTCGAAGGATCGTATTTTCTCGCCAAACCAAAATCTATTATTTTTACGCGATTTCCTGTCTGCGTCAGACATAAAATGTTTTCAGGCTGGAATTAAAAAAATTGTCTAAATATTCAAACCGAATAATTCTAAATATCCTCGTTGACGTCCTGGGATGTTTAGAATTTTGGTTAAACATACATACAATATAGACATCTTTTCGAAGTGAGTTAGTTTAATATGAAATATTATTCTGAAAATTCATTTTTGAATTTTTTACCCACTACACGCTACCTCAAATTAATGAGGGAAAAATTGTTGTTGTTGACCTCTCGTAGTTTAGTGGTCAGAACATTGGTGCGTAAAGCCAAAAGTCCCGGGTTCGATTCCCGGCGGGGGTGTGTGACAACAGCAACAATTTTTCCCACATTAATTTGAGGTAGCGTGTAGTGGGTAAAAAATTCAAAAATGAATTTTCAGAATAATATTTTATAGAATTTTGGGTTTATGTTATCAATTGCGGACGTTTCGACCTCGATCACACGGGACATCCTTATAACTCTACTGATGTTCAAGGAGATCACGTCTTCTACCCATTAACATCGGAAACCCCTAAAGATGCCTAGAACGTTCGAGGACGAAACGTCGTTAACAGCCACACAAATATTTTTTAAAAATTGTTGTTTGCTTTGTAAAAAGTTATGATTTTATATGTCTTTTTAAGTTGTGTTTCCTTGAAATTTTATTTAGATTGATGTTGTTACCTATACACTGCAAGTACAGAAAATAAACTTTAAATAGCCACGATTTTTATGGCTTAGTTGTTAAGTTAATAAGTAGAGCATAAATGACAAGCATGCGGCAAAGTTTCTGCCAGAAATTTCTCATTTTACTTAGACTGCATTTTTGGTACATGTAGCAAGGAATTTTCTTTGTTCATAGTTTTACGATAACAATCCTTGAAGGTTCATGGATTAGTTCAATTAAAGTTTTCCATGTAACAATTCCATACAGAATACAAATTACTGGATTGTTTATTTTATTTTGGTATGAAATTTGCCCTTCTGCTAAATTTTAAATGTGCTCGGCAACGGGAAAGCCCTTATACAGAGGATTTAATAAGGAGAGACGGTAAGTACCTTTTTACTGTATTAAATTAGAAGACAATAGGGTTGTAAATTCTATTATTACTATTAAAAAATATTAGTTTCAACCTCACGTTTAAAAGGGATACCTAAACGTTAAAGGAGCGAAAATTAAAACGGTTGGTATAAATAAAGGTACAAGTAAAGGATCCAATAATCTTTTGTTTTTGTACCAATGGGAACAAGCGAATACCGAAGGCGGCGATCGATACGATGTCATTTTTTGAAAGCGTAGAAGCGACACAGAAAGCTATAGCAAAAAACAACTACGAAAAGTTTCTGTAATAAGTAAGAAGGAGATAAATAGTATGAACCAAAGAGGAAGCAGTGATATAAATAATAATTGTAAAATAATGTTACTGTTATATAAATTGCTTATTATTAAACAAGTAAAGCTACTAAACAATTCGTTACAATGCAAGGCTCCAGTATGACCCTGGGCTAGTTAAAATATACTCACTTTCATATCTAAATGGAGAATACCCTGTTTATGGATATACCCTATACCTTCGCAAATCTGTCTCATGAATACTGTGCAGGCTTTCTCTGTTAAAATAAAATTTTCGTCAATAACTCTTTCGAAAAGTTCTCCGCCTTCTATTCTAGAATAAATTACGATTCATTTAGAACTGTTTGTTTTTACAGCTGCACATGATAATTATTATCTTACAGTTCCAAAATCACGCACATCGTCTTTCCGTTTTCGAAGGCGTCGAATATTTGCAACAGTCGCGGATGCTGTAGTGATCTCATGATTTCAACTTCCCTCTCGACATTTCTCCGATCTTCTTTTTTCGGGCAACCAACGAACTTGGCAGCGAGTGCCAATTTCGATGTTTTTTCTCTGCATTTGTAAACCGTCCCGAACTTTCCTCTGAAACCAAAACAATTAACGAACGCTATTTATAATGTTTAATTATCAACAAACCTTCCGATCTCTTCTTCTAAATCGTAAAAATCTTTCGGATCTAATCCTCTTTTTATCTGAACATCTCGATATGGAAAACTGAGCTGCACTTCTACAATAGACAGTTAAATGTTTGTAGCTTTTGCAAATTTTACATTGTCAAAACGTTCTTTTGTTATTTATACGAGGGTTGTACCGACAGAAACACTACAGTGTCTTCGAATTGTGAGAAACCTTGAATATTTTCATAGAGTAATTATTCATCATTTGCTATTCAAAAATTAAAACAATTTTTGAAGTGAGGAATGCCAAATTACTAACAAAATAGTACAGTCAAATACAAGAAGAATAGGAGTATGCTTTGAACTCTTGAAAGCTGACAAACAGAAGTGGTTACTTCACAAATATTTTAATCAACTTCTTTCTTCATAACATATAGTTCAGTAAAATCTGTCACTTCGAAAGTTTTTGCATTTTTGATATATATGCACATTTGGTTCACGAATAAAATGATACATGATATAAAAATTAACCACCAATTGTAAAGGGGTGGTAAAAAAAATAAAAACCCGAAGGCTAACAAACCCCAAAATAGTTTTTTGCGTTTTTCTTGAAAATCCAAAAGATACGAAAAACAGTTTTAGATAAAAATTTTAGAAAAAAAAATTATAAAAAATTCCAAACCAAATCTTTTAATTCTT